TTTCGATGTAAATTCGCATAAAAGAACAATATTTACAGGGTTCTTAACCCTGTGTGTTCGTCAGATTTAGGTTTCACCTTTGCTTCATTATGTGCAATTTTTGTTTATTTTATTTCACAGCTTGAAAAAGGCATGGAAAATTTCATGGAGTGGAAAATTAAGGGGGTTCAGAAAAGAATGAAAAAATATGTTGTTCCACATAAATTTGCGTGCCAAAAAGACAGAAAACGAAGTAGTGACACTCCTGTACGAGCCGTAGTTTTGAAACATTATAGACTTAACGGCTTTAGTGAATTTGAGTTTGTGGTCGATTGTGAGCCCAAGGTACCTTACGTCGTTTTTCGGATGTGTCGTTTGGCCGTCTGCAGTTATTGTAGGGGAGTCAACGTTGAGTCTGTGGTTCGTGAGTAGAAGTTGGTTTTTTGTCGCGTTTGGCGTTAGTCTCCATTTATAAAAAAATGTGTTGTTTGTTAGTGTTTGGAGTCTTTCAGTCGCTTTTTCGGTAGTTTTGTCGGGTATAATAAGTGCCGTGTCGTCAGCGTTCTGTAATATCTATGCCGTTCTGTCGATTTGATTTTTGTCTGGTAAGTTGTAATTGCATATGTCATGGCAGTATATACTGTAGAGAAAGGGTGAGAGCGGGGATCCTTGAGGGAGCCCTTGTTCAGGGGAAAAAGAAAAGTCGTCACGTTATGGAAACTTTATAAATGACGCTTTAGATGCAAGAATATACCTGGGTATATATAAATATTTATTTATAATTAAGCTACTTAGGGAGACTACAAAATTGGGTTTTGTAAATATTTATCTAGTTCTTTAAAAAATTCGAATTCACAAAAGTTTTGCTGAACTAGGTGATGATTTGAACGAGTAGAATTTTTGCAAAATCCTTTCCATTAATAAGCGAGATGGTAAAGAGTTTAAGTCTGTATGCCACCTAATTAAGTTAGAAAACGCCTAAAAAACCTATACTTTCTCGTGTACATTATAGTAAAGTTTACCCCATAATAGATTGTTTATAAATTTAAATTCAGAACCCGGAAGATCCAGTCAAACAAGCTCTTACATGGTCAGATTACGAGAAAGCTAATACCATAAAGTATCAGTCAAGTATCGTCAAACGCAGACGGCATAATAAATTATATTAATATTTTATCTACAACTATAACGATTATTATCATCAGAATCATTGTCAAAGTTGTGTCTTGAAATTACACATTTTATAATGACTTCCAGCGATGGTCTGCCATGTGATATTGAGAACAAACGATAATAATTTAAAAAAGCACTAGTGCGGTAATAAACATCATTATCACATTTAAAGAGTGCCAAATCATAGTCATTATATAAATAGACACTATTTGTACCCGTTTATTAATACTGATATTAAAATAAAATTTTGACACAATTTGAGCTTCACAAAGTTTTTTAGCTTCAAAATGCAAGAATATCAGGTAAATAATTTGCCATTCTTGTTTAATCAGTATTCACTTACAATTAAAATAGTATTCACGCAAACAATAGGAAGAGGAACAAGGGCTAAACATTATCATCGCAAATGTATGTTGCCTTTATTATGATTAGCATT